TAGTCATATTCTTTTTAAATCGCAATTTGCAAGCTATATAACAAATACCTGCATTAGGGATCTCCCTTTAGCTTCACTAAACATACCCATCAACTCTTCACTATCTTAATTTATCACTATCAAATTAAAATTAGCCATCCATGGCCCACTGAGAAGTTTTCAAAATAAACCACGAATACACAGTTTTATAGCAGTTGTGTTACAAAATACAGTAGTGTTGAAAATTGGAATAAATTGAAGCCATATTATCCACTGCATTACCTATATGTTTTTCATAATCATCAGACAATTATAATCAAATTTTCATCATAATCAGAAAATCCAGGCAATTGGTCCTAAGCAATCACTTGACATTTATTTTTTGACCTTAAGTGGACACTATTAATATGAACACCTTCCTGCATGGTGGCGTTAAACCCAAGAGTAAGATTTGTATTGCAGATGGCCGACTCTGCAGCTTGCATGTCAGATAAGCAACCAACCTCACGAGCCATTTGCTCAACAGTAATACGCTTGGGAATATGCAACAAACCAACACTAAAATATTGTGCAGTTTTTTCCAATAGGATTAGAATGTTACCTGTTGGAACATTACACAATAAAATGATATAGATTATCATTCTAGATTGTATTTAGTAAGCTTTATTATCTCCTGATGTAATTGAAGCAATACAATCAACCTCCTCCATTTAGGTCATATCATTTTCTAATCTAGCAGTTTCAATTTTATTTTCTCTACTAACAGTATTATGTTTGAGCATTACTTGTCTTAGCTGTTCTCTGACTTCAATTTTCATTTTCTTTTTTTCATTACAAGATTGTGAATATACCTATTGCAGTAACATGATTTAAATTTTTTGTTTCAAGTTTCTAACTCCAGCTCTCGAAGCTTTTATAATTTCTTTTTTACTTTAAATGCTTAAACTTTAAACGTCTTTAAACTTTTATTTTGTAGGGCATGTTGTTCAGTTCTGATTTCAATAATGCTATCTTATAACGTTATTCTTTAGAAGAGTTAGCTAATTGTGATGTCAAATAAAATAACCAACTCTGTAACTTTTTTTTTGTAAGAGTCATTATTTCTCGTAAAATATGCAGATTTTGTTTATTTTTGCTATTGCTTGTGGGAGTTAGCTTTGCACTACTTACTGGAGATATAAAACTGATATTTTCTGATGATACAATTGAAGAACAAGAAACAGTATCAATTGGACTAGAGGTAAGTGGCAATGACTGTGAGACTGTCAGCACCAGGGCATGGAACACAAATGGTTTGTTGCAAAAGTCAGCTACATTAGTGGCATTTCTTGAAAAGTTATAAGACCGTTTTTTTACTACACTAAAAAGTTTTTTGACATGATTTTTGCAAGTGTTAATGCTAAAATGCTCATAAACTTGTGCAACAGTTTTATTAAATAACTCTCCGTTGTTAATAAATATAAATAGTATATGCCCACTTCTACAATCAATGCTCATTTTGGTAGCCAATGTAAAGTTAGCGATTATATATTTTTTTAAATTGCCAATAAGCATTTTTGTCTTAGGAGGCATGATACCTTTAAAAATTATAAAGCTATTTAATTGCATAACTAATGAGCAATAGGATAACTACATAAATATAAAAAAATATAAAAAATGAGGTAAGTGAAAGCACAATAAAAGTTTTAAATACTGAATACTTTTAATATATGCACAACAGTTGGGTTTAAAATTTGAACTCTAAACACTTTCTATATAGCACAGAATTATGTTAACTTCGTTTTTGGTTAGATAAAGATAAAGTTCTACATAATGGCACATAAAGGCACTTAGATTTTGAGCTTTTTTTTTATATTTTTTAAATTATCATAACACCTTTTAACTTCAAGTTTAACATTTAAAGTAATGTAATCACAAGTTAAAATTGTGATTATATCACAGGCATGATTACATCAGATATGTCATAAGTTAAAACAGACATCCTAAACTCTTAAGAATGAGTTACTTTATGTAGATCTTCAAATCAACTAACTTAAAACCTTTATTTAAAAATACAAAATGACAAATAACTCCTGATATAATACACTGACTAGTTTTATAAAGTGCTTTATTATCTAAAAGTAAATTTTTTTATAATTAAGTAATTTTTTATAATTAAGTTTGATATAATTAAGTAATAAGAATAATTTTTTTATATTATAAAAAAAATTGTTTGTAAATATATATTAATTAAACCTTTAGGCTCTACTCTTTCATCAACAACGAATGGATAACTTATTATAATTTAAGTAAATTAAATCTAAATCATATTAAATTGAACAGTTATCTATAATTGTATCAGATTATATTGCTAAATGTTGTTAATGAAATCCCCCTCATCCGCCCGGCGTTAAACTGTTTAAAAAAATTAGGTACCAAAAGTGCTAGTTAAAATAAGGAATGTGCTAATCAAAATAAAGCAATAAAATTTGGCAGGTGCATAAAAAGTATGTAAACTTAAAAATGAGAATAGGTAGGAAAATTTACTGAGCATTTTTTCAAGGTTTAAACGTCTAAAGTATTACCAAGTTTTGGATGTAAATAAATTACCTTAAAAAGTTTGTCATTGTAATCAAAAGATACATAGAAATAAAGTTTAATTACTCTAGATTTTAAAAAATAACTATGTTAATATGAAATTCTAAAAAATAAGGCTACAAAACACCATTCTATCATGCATGTCAACACAAAAGTCGAAAAAACGGAGAACAGTTTTTTGGTATAAAACTCGGTACCGTGAAACGCGTATTTCTATTTTACCTTGTCATACATGTATAATATATAAAATTATTATAAATTAAACGTATATATGTTAATTTATAAAAATAAAGAAAACAACTTTTTATGGTACTAATAGTTTCATGCCTAAAGGCAATCATCAGCCATGTAATATATACATATATATATATATATATATATATATATATATATATATATATATATATATATATATATATATATATATATATATATATATATATATATTATATATATATATATATATATATATATATATATATATATATATATATATATATATATACATACATATATGTATATATACATACATATATATATATTATACATATATATATGTATATATTATATATGTATATATTTATATATATATGTGTGTGTGTGTTAGTGTGTCTATATATATACAGGGCCGCCGAGAGGAGGGAGCCACCGGGACAGTTTGTCCCGGGCGGGAAATATCCGAAGGGGCCAAATGAAATGTAAATACCTAAAAAAATATGTTTTTTCATGCATTTCATAGCAGTACTATCATACGATTATACAAAATAAAACTGATACAAGATAGTATATAACTTATAGTGAGTGCCAGTTTTCAAATTTTATGGTAACAATTAATATTATAAGATAAAAACATTAGATGTTCATTGGGTGCAAGTTGCCACTTTCTATAGTTTAGTTTAAAAACTTAATCCAAAAACACATGGAAAATCCAAAGTTTTTATAAATATAGAAAAATTAGCAATTGTACAACATGTTAAGTTATACCAATCGTGTTTAGTGCCTCTAGTCAAATTGACTCTGGTTATGCTTATAAAGCTGACTATTTATGGACACAAGGACAGTAAGTGGACCACCTAATATACAATACAATTAATATCAGGACAGTTTGATTATATTCATTTTTTCGACTGCTTTGTTATGATTTTTTGTCAAATTGTAGGAACTAAAGTTCCTGTTAATTTTAATCTAAGTAATCTTAGAAAAATAATAGGATATAAAATAGTATCTTGTTGCGAAAAAAACAGCATCTTATTTATATAACTGGTAACTCTACCCATTTATTGCAACTTCTTGATGTTGCATTTTATTGACTTCCTTAAAAGTATTAGAGGAAAATACTTGGTCAATCTAAAACCTCTTGTTTCAAAAATAGCACAGACAATTACTATAATAATTATTTTATGTTGATGTCAAGGACAAAAATCAAAGGGAAAAAAAATTACTTTTGCATTTTTTAAAAGTACTTTTTTTTTGAGAATTGTTTGACAAAATGTAAAGATGTTCCACTTAATAGTCGGTTAGCAAAACTGATGCAAATGAGACTTTTTTTTATGCTAGTTCTCTTAAAGCATACCCAACAAAATAAAATAGAAACTAGTAGTTTGTAATAAAACAATATTATGTTATTTTAGCAATAATAAAATAATGTGAAACTAGAATGTTGTTTTTATTAAATTTTAAAACAAAATAATGCGTTTTTTAATAGATTTTGCTTTTACAAAAAAACGTATTCAAGGTTACCCCATTTATAAGGTAACTTTGAATGATTATTTAAGTTAATATACAAAATCTTTTTATTTAAATATTATTTTGAATTTGATGTATGTGTAAAAGTCAATCTGAGACTCTATATTCATTTCGTTAAATTTCCAATATTGTCAATAGTGAAGAAAAAGCAATTAAAAATATTTTAAAAACGTTTAAAATAACCCAGGTTTACGGTATTTTTGTATTTAATCTATCGTATCCGGTTACGGTATTTTTGTACAAAACCTTTAAAACTACTTCACTCAAAGAAAAAATCCGTTATATACAACGAATTGTATCTGTCGCTATTGCACTAACAGGAAATCCGTTAAGTTAACGAATTAAACTTTTAACGAATTGAAGTCCGTTAGGAATAGTCCGTTGAATTTACGGATTTATTTCGTTAGTGCAACGAATAATCCGTTAAATTAGGGAGTTATTACACTAGGCAGCAAATTTTCCGCTGTTGTTATTCCTATAAAATAAATGTGTTAATAAGTTATTTTAGTGATTATTTCGTTAAAATCACTAAAATCTAAAATTAGAGAGGCCAGAATTGTGACTTCATAACCAAATAATCCTTATATTTGTTAATGTTTGCATTTTTATTTAATTGCATTATTTTATTTCGATATTCTACATTAAAACGTTTTAACTAAAAATTGAAAACTAATCAAATATTTATAATATTTAACCCAATATACTTTAAATTACAATAAAAATACACGAAAAATGTTTTTAATACACTATACTCAAGCTAGTACATTTATATAAAAAACACACATATATATAATAAATGTTTAAAATAAACCAATGCCAAGTTAGTTTTTGGTCGCTAGTTTTGGTTTGGTTGGTTTAAATAGGTTTTGGTTTTGAATACTATTGTTACTCGTACACAGGTTCGCACTTTGAATCGGACACCATGCTGTCAACTCCTCAAAGATTAATATAAAATAAAATAAGGAAAATATGGAAACTTAATAACATAATAACACGTAGTATAGAACCAAAATACTGATAGCACTATAGAAAATGTTTTTGGTAATTCATTATATATATATTTCTATTCTAAACTTTGTTATTTTAATTATTTCTGATATCGTTTTTTTAAAGATAAAGTTAAATGGAACAAGTAAATCATATCTTTATTAAAATGTAAATTAAAAAAAAGTATAAAGATTACCTTGACATTATCTGATAACTGAAAGACTCTATACATTTCACATACATCAATACCTATCAGGAGCAAAACATAAAGTCTCTAACCTTTTAAAAACTATGATAAATCAAAACAAGATTAAATATGCAGACCAAAAAAAACGCAAGTAACTATATAAAAAAATTAATTTTACAACTTATTTAAACTTACAGTGTCGTACTACTTGTCACATGTTTAAAATAGCTAATTCTAAAATAATAGTGAATAAAGAATATAATAGAATAATAGTTAAAAAAAGTATGATATAAACTTAGTCTTAACTATACTAAAAAAATATGCATGCCAAAAGAAAAGTTAAAATACAATTTTTTTAAATTTACTAATTCAAACTTAGAGTGGGATACCACATGCCACGTGTCTAAAACAGTAAATTTTAAAATAATATAAACACGCCAGATATAAACTTATTATTATTATTATTATTATTATTATTAATAGTTGAAACTCAACTAAATAAATATGCACGCCAATAGAAAT